AGATTTTATTGACCAATATAATTACTATAATGTTAAACTTTTTAAAGAAACTTAGACTAGAGTCATTTACTTAAAAAAAAAATATGTCATTTAGACAAAATTAACAGCTGGACATTTCACTTGTTCAGTATGACTGGCAAATAAAACCAAAACAACAACCCTGTCTGGTACTATGAATAATAAAATATAGTTCTGAAAGTATAATCTGAGATTGATTAAATACTAGAAAAATAGAAGTCATTATTATACAGTATATACACTGGGTCACATATGACCCAATAAAAAACATGTGCATTGTGTTGTGTGCTATGTAAGTGTATTTAAAACCAATTTAGCGCCCACCCACTTCAAAATCGTCATGCAGAATCACAAGTGTGAGGGTTAAGCACCAGCTACCTAGCATTTTTGTCTACTACCGTACCTAAGCATTCATAGATATATTTCCATCATTTAAATTGGGACAAATATATTTATGCACATCCAGGGTTATTCCAATATACATAAGAGGAGTCCATTGTGTTCTAAGGGTAGAATTAAATTGTTTATGCTATCTAGGTCAGATCAATCTTTTGTACCCCACCAAGTAAAGTAGACTTTTCCTATTTGTGTTCAGAAACCCCATGGACATGCTTTCCAAGCTCATATAATTTTATGAGAGAGAATGCACATGCATATCTAAGTAGGTCACATTTTGAAATAAGAACCAGAGAACTGCAAATTTAACTTAAACCAATGATACCTAAAAGTGTCAAAGAAACTTTTTCTGTCTGTTCAGAGTAATTTTACAATAAGCAAGTAGCAAAATAAAAATTTAGAATTTGCCGCCAAAATGGAAAGACTTACATCTTTTGTTTCAGAGCCATTTGTTTCCTTGACCTCAGCAGACGTTGCAATCGAAGAATCCTTGGTCTTATCAGCCATTTCCGTATCTTCATCTATTTTTGGCATATCTGGTTTGATCAACGCTGGTCTCTCCTCGTGAGACTACATGCATATATATAGAGATTATAGTTACTATGGCAACATTCAATAGGTCAAAGGTCATTCAAGGTCAAATATAATTTGGTAGTTGCAGGATAGTTTAGAATTTTTCATATATGGGATTTCAAGACAATAATGGTCCATTTCAAGCTTAATGCTTATGTGCAATGACCTTTGATGACCTTGTAATCCTGAATGACCTTTTATAGAAGCATTTTCTCTACCTCATCCAACTTCACTGAACATTTCAAACTTATGAGGCAATCAAAATCCAATTTTCTTTTCATCTCTTTACTAAGGCACCCCTTGCAGCCTTTTTCTCCAAGATATTTCTAGCAAATTACTTTACAATTATCAAGAATATCAACTAAAAATTTTGAGCTGTGAGCTATATCAAGTAGAAACGGGAAATTCAAGTTGACAATTCTATTTGCCAATTGGCATTAGGTGTTCAAGAAGAGAAGGATGAGCCATTAGTATAATCATAGGTCTTCATTCCATTGGTTGAATTTTGACATACGATCATGAATATTATACTTTAAAACAATTTGAGATTTTGTTTTTTTGTCATTAATTTTAATCCAAACAAACTGTGCTGATGATGGACTGTCTATATCAAACACAGCAATAAAAGTTTAAACACATTAAGTTTTTGTTGTAAATTTAGATAGTTCAGCCAAATTTTCACAAAGCTGCCCTGTTGATGTATTATATATCCAAAACACAGTAATAAAAAGAATTAAGAGTCAAGAGATAAGTATGAAATGTTCACTGAAGTCATCAAACCAAACCCAGTTACTAGCATTCAAACCTAGGACCTGTTTTATAAAAACTTCACTCAGGAATAACATGTATTCCAGTCATCTGATCATTTGGTCCATCCCAAAAATTGAATTTAAATCTGGCTTTATGAACCAATCAGATTACTGTACTATCTTAGTTAAGATTTTGTGAAACAGGTCTCTATCAGATTCTATCGCACACAAGCATTAAATATTGGCACAGCAAGTTATTGTTCATTATTATATTTTTTTTTAGAATTATGATGAATCTTTTAATCAAATTCACAATTTGATCAAAAATACAGATCCAGATGTTTTGTTTCATGTTTTTAGATCTGCATAGAACTTACTATTACAGTCTCTGATTAGATCTGTTGTAGCCTTTTTGATCAACCTCTATTATTTTTCACGTGGTAAGCTTGTCTAATTTTGAAAGAATTATGAATCAGTGAATTGTGAAAACTACAAAAGTGAAATAACTACTATTCGTGAAATAGAATTTTGCTAACAATGGCAGCAGTGTGAAAAACAATGAATGAATTAATTGTGGTCTGAAAGAAACATACCGAGGGAAGAGTAGTGGATGATTTCTTGTTGATTTCATTTTGTCGTTCTGAAAAATACAGTCAAATAAAATGATATATAATCTGCAATAAAGGACTCTTTAACTCTTTTTGAACAATATTTTATTCACATAAATATGAAGAGGATTGGGGAACAGGCTTTCACCTATATAACCCCTCTCCTCAACTCTTCCTTTGTGTATTGCTGCTAACTTGCAATCCAATGCATTTTCATACTTATTCATGGAAAGTGATTTCCATTTATAAAGTAATTATCACAAATCCCATATTGCCCTTGGATGGTAGTTAATAGCCAAACAAAGAAACCATGTAAATAAAATTCTCAGAACAAACAGAAACAAAACTGAATGCCACTTATCTGATGAAGGCAAGCAATGTGATGCAGTGTGCAATGAGGGAAATTTAATTTGGACAGTGGCATTAACCTACTCTACTTTCGATTTCCAACTGTCATGGGATCTTAAACATAGTAGCACACAGGGCCTCGGTTTATTGTCCCCTCAAAAGGACTAGATGCGTTTCCAACCTTTTTCTCTGCAACCTGCATCACTGACAGGGGAAAACCGAGTTGAAAATCCGAAGGTACTATAATATACCGGGATTGAACCCAGGTCCTTTAGGTTAGCGAGCAAGCATGGAACTCCCTGAACCACCACGTATCCCAGATCAAACAGAAAGCATAAAATCAATCAAACCTGTTTCTTGGTCATCTTCCTGGCGAGTTTTATCCCCCACACCAAATAATGATGCTCTCTCTTCTTCTGAGGTTTTTAATATCACATTAGCTTTCTGATCTCCACTCATACGTGTTACTGAACTTCTGTAATGTAGCAAGAGGTGAACATTATAGAAAAGGAAAGAGAATTTCACCAATACATTGGCTTATTCAATTTTGGTTGCCATCTGTTAAGTAATTTTCAACATTAAATAATTCCTACAACTCAGTATGTAAAATATAACAGCGTTTTACTTTTTCTAGACCAAAGACAAATAGAGACAAATGCTGCAGTGCACAATGAGTAAATTTTGCCTTCAATCTGCATCACTTTCTAACTCAGGGAATTCAGATTCAAAATTTGAAAGTTCCTTGTACCATTCTTATACAATGACTCTTTTATCACAAATTAAGAAACCAGTCACATAAATATGTGATATATATGCAAGTAACTGGTGTGGCAGATGTTATCAAGTGACATCACATAATATCATTCACTTTATACCGGTGAATAGGCGAGATACGGTGTGTGGTCTAGAATAATCGAAACAAAAGAAAATAGAAGCGAAATCAAGAGGTAAGGATCTGAACACCATTCGCTTGTACTGTTTTCTACTATATTGATAATCAGTACACCTGACTGGAGTTATTTGTCTATTTGTGGCTTAAGTCATATATTTGGAGAGTTCAGGGTATAGAAGAAATGAATTCACAAGGTACAGTTCTGGACACGATGTGGACATGATTTGCAGCTACTATTTTCTACTGTTTGGATAATCCTGCACTGCAAACCACACCGAACACTGTACCTCGTCTATTTGTGCATTGAGTCATATATTTGGAGAGTTCAGGGTATATGATATTTTATCATATTTACACCCAGTGTTCAAAGGTTTAAATAGAAATTTATAACAAACCTTCTCTTGCCACCATGACCTCTATTAGATATTATTTCTTCTGATGTTGGAACTTTATCACGTAACTATAAAGATAGATAGTTAGTATAAGATTACTAATATCACAATTTCAACAGAGCTTAAAGATGGGTTTCCTTATTTCTTATTGTCAAATTAAGCAAACTATTTGATTAATTGGTGTTTCTACTGAATAATCATGTTTTCTTAATCATATCATTATGTTCTTATTGCATAAAATTAAGAGTTTTAACCAATCATAAATGTCCATGTATGTACAGTCTGGATAAACAAAAAAGTTTTTGACCTTTCTTGATCGGTCACTTATTGGAATTCTGCGGGTGATTCTATTCTAATTTAGCTAATTATGAATTAATGTGAGACAAACTTGTATTTTTCTAAGTCATTAGAACACCTCTACTTTCTATTCATATAAGTATTAGCATGTATCATTTTCATAAATGAAAATAAGGGAACCCATCTTAGACTATAATCTGACATAAAAATTGATGCACATCCACAAATGTTTCAAAGCATATACATGAAGATTTAACCTACAGAGTAAATCAAGTGTTATGATGTCAAATTTCAATGTGTTTTGAATAGTTTTAATTACCATTAATTTTTACCGCTTCAGGCCATATAACTTTTCTGTTTGACCTCTGGAACAATTGCGACAATTCATCTTATATGATAGGCAAAAGGTTTTTGAAAATTGCATGAAAATACAAACAGGACACTTGCTATTAAAGACAAGGGAGGTAATTCCAAACCATATTACAAGAGTTACCTACCGTTAATTGTTTCTTTTTGAGGTCTTCTAAAACACGAACCATTTCTGTGTCAGCCAGTTCGAAAGCACTCTGGCCCTAAAATACATAACACACATCAGTTTCATGTTCATAGCAGACAAATGTTTTTAACGTATAAAGCATAAATATGGCAAATCTAAATATATTGAGGGGTGCTTGTTTAGTAATTTTGCAGGACAGTGGTTCAGCTCCCTTACTATTTCTTGATATATTTAACGTAAACTTACAGCATTGTTTTTGATGTCCATATCACACAAGTTTTCTACCAGAATTTGACAGGATTCCTCTTGTCCCCAGTGAGCCGCACCATGTAATGGCGTCCAACCATCATTGTCCTGAGCATTTATATCAACACCAGCTTGAAGTAAAATACTGGAAGAAGAAATTGATATTTGATGAATAATAACAGTTATAGGTGTTATAGAAGATACTCTCCTATAGAAGCACTGGCCTAGGTCACAAGTAGAGACTATGGATTTCAACATGAAAACTATTTCAATTCAAACAGAATATGTTTTACTGAAGATTATTCATAGATTATTACTTCTGGAGAGATTACAAGAAAAAATAAATTCAACTCAAATTACAATGCAACTGTTTCAAGATAACAGTCAAATTTGGGAAGGAACGAATGAAAGTTTGATCAAAAAATATATGAACGAGAATGTCTAGTATTATTTGCTTTCAAATTATCAAAAAATATCAAAATTGGTCAGATCAAACATGTTTTTAATGTTCAGGTTTTTTTTATCAACAGTGTTTTCCTTTGACTTGTAAATGTTAATCATGATAGTGTGTGGTCAAAATGTGAGAGAACACTATTCGAACAGAATCTTCTAAGATCATCGATGGCAAGTAGAATAACCCTCTTCAATTTTATTCAATTTCTTTATTTTCTGATATTTTTCCTCTCTATTGTAATCTAACAAGTTTTCTTCTACACCCATGTCCTATTGATGTTAGTTTTAACCTATCAAGGTGTGATATGTAGGATCCATTTCTTGGTTGATGACGTGCCCGGCACACATTGATTCGTGTCGGACATTTCAAACTTCATGCCAGACAAAAAATTGTATTTAAAAATCAGCCATTTACATCTGTATTGTAGCAGAAATGTCATGAGTTATTTAGACTTACTCCATAACTTTAACATAACCTTTAGCAGCAGCTACATGTAAAGCTGTAGCACCAGTTTTACTATGTTTCTTTTCTTTTACTATTTTACTGTTTAACCATTGGTTAGCATCAGCTAGCATTCTATCTTCTTCTTCAGATCTTGCTGAATCAGCATCAATTCCTGAAACAACAAACAATGACATACTGAAACAACATTCATTAGTCATTAGTGACTTTTAGGGGTAGAGATCACATTAAATAACAGAACACAATGGGTTTTATTATACACAACTTTTCAACAATTAACATTGTGATTTCCAACTGATGATGACAATGTAAATTATTGGTGCCAGGAGTATACTGTATTCTTTGTTTCAATCAAACAACATTGGAAAGAAAAAACTTTCATATTTCACAAGGATAACCAATGATGTCCAAATCAAACAAGTTAAGTTTTCTATGAGAATTGACAGGCTTCGAGTGAGTTGTGCCATCTGATATGTGTATTGTATTGCATGGTTGTATATCTCTATTTGACTACCAAGCATACCAGACAAACAGGTATACACATACAACTACATGTCATCTAAATGTATGAAATATGGCAACAGTAAACCAGCACTATAACTGGTTATCACACAGTTAACAAAGTGTGAATGAGTTGTCTACCTTGATTGTCCATTTCTTTCTGTAATAAATTTTCCATTTCATCATCTTCACAGATATCAATAGGTAAATCTCCATCATTGTTCACAGCCGCTACATTAGCATCGTGTTTTATTAGGTATCTAAAATACAAAATATATAATGTTCACTTACAAAATGGTTGTTGCCAGTGTTTCTATAAATCATCAGTGGAGGGCACCACAGAATTGTCAAAGAGGGGAGGGGAGGCATTTAAGAAACATTTTTAAGAGGGCATAGCCCTCCCCTAATAAACACCACTGAATGGTTGCTTGGTATAAATTGCAGTTGACAAAGTTGCTCATGTTGTACTTTTAAGCGGCTTGTGTCCTTGATCAATGGCAGAGCCAAAGGGTGGGCAGAGGGGTCAGCCCCACCTCGCAGCCCCGAAAGCAAGTTTTCAGGTTAAAAATTTGGGCAATCTCACATATTTCTCCCCCCTTCAGACGTAAACCTGGCTCCGCCACTTTCCTCGATCTAAGCAGAAGAAATCTAGTAACAAGATGCAAGAAAAGGAGAATAATGAGTTTGAGTTTTCTTTCATTTGGAGATATAATCCTCATCCAGACAGTTAAAGACTGTTAAAGCTTCAATTTTAATATTCAGTATATAGTTATAAACTAGTACCTAGCTATTTCTGTAAAACCACAGGAAGCTGTAGCATGTAATGGTGTCCAACCCTCGTTATCACAAACATCCACATCAGCCTTATTCTCTACCAGAAATTCTACCATATCCTGGTTATCATCAATACAAGCCTGAAAATATACAAAATACCATATATAGACCAGAAATATACAGGCCTGGAAATATCCAAAATACCATATATACAAGCCTGGAAATATACAAAAATATCATATAACCAGGCTTGAGATATACAAAATCATCATATATACATTATACACACTGGAATCACAATTAGTATAGTAACAAGTAATGAGAAGTAAAGTTATTGTAAGCTTTGGGACAAGCTCTAATTTTTTTTGGAAGCAAGCCTACCAAGCAGCCTAGTTTTCTGAGCCCTTCCTCATACAAACCCTGAATAGGCTGAATCCAGGCCCTCTTTGTCTATGCACAGCTGAGAAGAAGATTGTCTAAACCAGTTGCTTAAAGTCCTTGTAATTGACGAAGTCTACAGACATATACATTGCCTCATAAGAAAACTGTTCCAAATGTGCGAAATAATTAGCCTCTATCATCAAGTCCTACTTTGTCAAAGCAAAGCTTTGGTTGGCCTGGACTGGTTGCTTAAAGTCTTTGAGTCTACAGACAATTGCATCTGATTGGTTGTCAACGCACATTCATTTTGGTGATGTGAAAAATTAAATAAAATAATTTAGTTATTATGACAATATCTTTGGATTCAAATTCTTTGCTTGAGGACTAGATAAATTTGACATTCATGGACAAAAATATCAAACAAATAGAAACAAAACCATTTGAGACTGCCATTTTGTTTCATTGTAAACACAAAATTCAATGGTTCGTCCCAGACTAATTCTCATCTTAGTTGAGTTTAGATTTGAACTTGGAATGATTTGAGAAACCATACCCCATGGCTACACATATTTAATTACCCTGAAGCCCTTGATAATAATTGGATCAATTTACATGAGGAATGTCTAAATAATATTTGATAATATGATAGCAAACAGTTTTAAACTAAGTGGTTTATTTTTCTCTGTTTCAGGCAGATTTATATAATAACTTAGGTTTACATTTAGAAACATTACTCGTAATGAATAATCAATGCATTCAACTGTGAGATAAGAAAGAAACAATGTGTATAAATTTAGACTAGGTGTGTAGCAGAATGCCTGACATTTATAAAAGAGATAAAACCTTGTTTAGAATAGAAGGTAAAAATCAAGTGGAAAATCATCTTCACAATGTCAAGCTATTACGAACTTTGCAATTGTAACTTGACTGCAATAGCCACTATTTTTGTATCATGGAATACAGCGATTTGTTTGGATAGTACGCCAGAGATTACAGCCAATCAGATCCCTTGACAAAAAGGCTGTCAATATTATTGATTTGCGTTTTGACTTTCTGTAGATGCCCCTGATTAGCTGTATTTGCTAGCATTCACACCAAATGATTGTTTATATTGGTGCTATATTCTGTTTCCGTTAGAAATTGCAGGAACAAAAGACAATGGATAGGGAAACAGAATGGTACAAATACAGCAAAAGCCAGAAATGAAATGAAATGAAATGAAATGAAATGAATGGAGTTACTTCCTACTTTTCTGCACCATGTGTGCTAATGAAGACTGGCAACGCCATGCAGGTTGCAATGAGGGAAATTTTTCCAGGACAGTGACATAAGCCTGCTCTTTTTTTTCAATTTCCAACTGTCAACAGCCTGTAACACATTGGGCCTCATTTGTTGTCCCATCCTAACAACTAAATGCTTTTTCCATGTCAGCCCCTCTAACCTGCATCACTGATAAGGGGGAACCGAGTTGAAAATCTGAAGGTATTATCTCGATCTATGTAGGTAGTGAATGTAAAACTCTCTTGAAAAAAATTCAGAGTCAGAGTATTGATCACATGGTGAATTTTGGCTCAAGTTGTACAAGGACATCTCTTTAAGCAATCAAAAGTCTAAAACCCTAGAATGCTAATTTTTCAAATACCATACCCCTAATATCTCAGATATTAACCAGTATTAATATTGATATAGAGGTATGATATTACCATTGGGAAGTAGATATTACAATCAGATTAAAAAGTCAATAGATATCACTGTCCAATCACTAATGCAATTAGAAAAATTATAGAATTTGACAACATTATTGAATATTGGCTGGCTGAAGTAGAGCTCATATAAAATTAAAGTTCTGGCCACGTATTCTCCAAATAAACAGATCTAAAAGTTCAGACCTTATCCTAGTAGCCTATTCATGATCAGTCCTGGTTAAGATCGTTTCGATAATACGAAGCCTGAATCTCAAGGAATTGATCCCTTTATTACTAAGATAGATTCAGCCAAATGCCATATTTCTTTATTACCTTAAGATAAAAAATTTGATTTGATAAAGCTTTAGGGGAGGTTCTTCTGTATAATTTGAAGAGAAAAGTCTGAAAGTTTATAGTAAAAATATCACGATAGTCAGGTAAAAAAACAATTATAACTGGACAAGATTGGACTGCCTGATATCATATTGATAGGAGATCTAATCCTAAAAAAACTGCTGATTATTATTTTAGCTGGCTGAAACTAAAGACTGGGTCAAACTGCTATTCCTGTTTTCCATATATATATACTACCATCTGGAGGCTGTTACTATAAATAATCTACTATAGACTAGAAGGTGTAGACAGTGTAGGTATTATACAGTATGGTATATAAAGCCATGGTAAATCTGACTATGGTATATTAACTTGGTTGCTATGGAACTTCTGATATACACTGTGAAGTAGTAAGCAATATTACACACTTACACTATCATTAGAAGTGGATACAGTTTTTTCTCAGAACAAATTGGCTTCCATTTGATAATAGCAGGGGTAAAAAAACATCCTGGCACTAGCTTCGCGATAATTTAACAAGCTCCAATTCATTCCCATTTCACTGCTTATAAAACGAGTTAATAAACTACATTTTTAATCTAATCAAGGAAAACGGTTAAAAGGTAATCAAATCTCAGGTTGAAGATAACATATTGAAATTTTAAATAAGTATGGCTTAACAAGTGATGATGATCAAGTTCGTTAACCTGCTGAAAGCAAACACTGAATTGAATTTGGAAGCACTTGTCACATCTTCACACTGTCAAGCTATTACGAACTTAGAGCTTATATCTTGACTGCAATAGCCATTATTCTTGTACCACGGAATGCAGTCATTTGTTTGGATTGTACGCCAGCAAATACATATGACAAAAGAAAAGTGACTATAGCAGTCAAGGTATTAGTACAGTACAAGTTCCTAGTTGGGAGATATTTTTGAAGGAATCATTTGATTTTTGCACACATCTAGTAAGGTACTTCTGAAGACTAGATTCAAGACTCAACCTTCCACAATGGCACTTCTGTCCCTTTAATGCAAAGAGCTGTCTTAAAAAATATCTCTTAAACTTTAATGATTAACGACAGTATCACAAGAAAACTTCCTTATAAGGTTATTACATTCATTTAGGGGAAAAACTTTGTAGTTTAAGATAAATATCATATTATATAATTAATAGTCATGTTATAAAACACAACTGTCTGAAGATTATAAACAAAATAAATAGAATCTTTCAAGGAACAACACAATGGTAATTTGTGCCAAATCATTTTCACCTGATGATGACAATGTAGATTGTTGAAATGTTGTGTGCAATAAAACTAAGGAGTAGTATACCATAAAATTGTTTTCTGATTATTTAATGGTATTTTGGACAAAAAGTATCATAATTTGAAATCAATCCCTTTTAGATGTTTATTACACTCAAAAAACAGAGACTTGATTGTTATCTATCTCATTGCAAGAAAATGAAACAATAAAAAATAATTCTGAAAAGTTTTAAGAAAAGCTGAAAATGAGCTCTTAAGATATTGATAGAAAAGAAAAAAATCTGACAAAGTTATAAAACTCTACATGAAAAGATTTAATTTCACAGACATTAAATAAAGAATGCTGATAACCCCAAAGTAATACTCCATTTTCTAAAATTTCCTCATCCTTATCTTAGAAAACAATTAGACCTTGGTACTAAAATTACAAAATTTTTAAATGTCACTAAAACAATGGTGCCATCCAGCTCAGAGTGTCAGTGTCCTGTTTCATTTTCACTTTCTAGTCAACACTGGGCTTAATTCAAACACCATCTTCAGTGATGCATGCTGAGGTCAGGTATCTGAACATTGCTTAGTGTGAAACTCTGAGTTACAACATGTTTCAGGTTCTGTTTTAGCCTAATATTTCTATATCGTTTAACAATTGATGTATTGAGCACTATTATAACAGTAAAAATATTTGGTTATTGTAAACGGCATCAAAACCAATCAACACAGCTGCAATTGTCACTAGCAAAATACATCATGCTCATCCTTTTAGAACACTTTTATGAAATTTACTGGTACTGGTACTAAAGAAGTTTCAACCCTCACATTTTATAGTTATTACAGCCCAAATTTATCTAAAGATTTAAAAATCATTTGAATTTCTCTTGGACCAAGTTGGAGTGATTGCCTTTAGATTACTGGTACTGCATTGTTATGATCTAAATCTACATGTTTGAAATTAAGGATCGTCAATATTTTTATTGTTTTGGGAACCAGTCGTGAAAAATATCAAAATTGTTTGCCACTATGTATAATGCGCAAAAATTTGGCAATCTTTTTTAGAGAAACTGTGCTTTATACACTCAAATATCAAGTATTTTATTTCAATTATCATTTAACCAACATTTTCTATATAAAATATAAGAGCAAATGATTAATGGAACAAAAATATCAAGTTAAAAGTTATGGACCTTGTGGGTGTCAAGTCTTCTGTACAGTTGAGTGCCCTGCCTCATTACAACTACTACACAATACATTGTGTTTCGAACTCAAACTACTTTCCCCTAACAGTTTCTTTTAAATGAATTAAACATAATCTTCTAAAGAACACTGATAGACTTAGTATGACTGAAGAATTTTTGTATAGTTCAAATTGAATAGAAACACACTTCCCTTTCTGAGACATTTAAACTGACATGTCCCAAAATTTAGTCGAAAAGTTTCCTGTGTAAAATCAAAATTTCAAAGTGAGACAGTGTGTCCATGTTTATAGTTTTATCGATGTAAATCTATTCTTAGACTATCAATACTATTTTGAAGCTAATATTCCATTCTTCATAAAAAATAACAGTAAATAATACAATTTACTGACACATATGTAAAGGCAGTGCTACTGACAGTGTAATAAGCACTTTGACATGTTGAACATCTTACTACCTATAAAATTTGGGGATTTCAAAACTAAAGACCATCAAAGACAAAAGTGGGGTCATATAACAAATTGAATTTTGGAAATTATTACGTCAAAGGCATAGGCCGTGGGATATGGGCAAGGGCTCTAGGTAAATAATATCTAGACTATGGCTTCATAAGGTCAATTTCATAACACAATCTATCTTTGAACTGATTACAAATTAAGCAATCACTATTTTATTTGGGCTAGCTGTCATTGAACTAACTAAAAATTAGACTTGCCTAGTTCAAATGGACAGAAGTTAGTAAACTGACTTAGTTGTGTCAAGTTATGAAGTGAGTGGGCCAAAATTATTCATTTAGGCTATAGGCCAAAATGTTTTCAACTCCTTTGATGGGATGGCCACTCAAAATCAAATAAATTAAGCCCATGTTTCAGAAGGGATAACTATATATGTTAATGAGGTATGAAAAAGGCCGAAATATAGGACAAAATAGTTAGAAAATTGAGGTTTACTAACTTGATGGAGCGCTGTCAATCCATCAACATTGGAAGTGTTTATATCCGCACCCCGATCCAAAAGTTTCTTCACTTCTTGTGTATCGCTGCTTGAGCAAGCAGCCAAGAAAATACATCCATCTTGAAATTTAACTCTTATTTTATCCTCGCGAGGTAATCCAGATACTCTATTTGTTTCGGAATCCTGCCATCGCTTCAATTGTTCGTGCCTTCTTAGAAGAGCACTCATTTGTTTTTCATCCGCCATATTACCATCCGAGACGGACGATTGTTACGATTATCAAGTCGAAATTTCCTTATCCATTTCAATGAAATATATGGTCTGGATAATCTAGTAAATAAATACAACACTGCCACCTGCACTGATTAAAGGGAAATAATAAAAATTTGAAGGGCATATTTCATTCGGTCTCGAAAGGAAATTATTCAGAAGGATCACATATATTTTACACGTCAAATCGGACAAACAATAACGGACGATTTGATCAATAGTACTAGTTATTGTCGTTACTACTTTGTCCAAAAGATCATGGGATATCACAGTTATGTCCAATTCGTCTTCACAATCATGGTCAAGGCATTAGTTTTCATCATGTTGGCCTACCTTGACACACTTTCTTGTTTCACGATTACGGTCAGCGATTTCAAAGAATTGTATTCCAGCGATTACAACCAATCAGAGCCCCTCAATTATAGTTGTTTACAGTTCTTCTGTCGAGGGCCTAGATTGGCTGTATTCGCTACACTACAATCCAATCAAATTATATTGGCGTGTTTTAAAAGGCGAAATGTATAGTGTTGCCCGTCTTATCAACCCGTGACTTAAGGTAGGAAGTAAAACACCATTTCAATTTAGATAAAAAAAAAAAAAGACAAAAAGATAATTAAAGTGATACTACGTCTTAGAATGAATATTAAATCTAAGTTCTCGAAAAGAATGGTCAATATTAGACTATATACATCAGTTAGCTTACCTGGTGTCATAAAGTTACAACAGAATCCCTGTAAAATCTGGAAAATACATAAAACTAAGTAATTATTGAAAAACGCTTAATCTTCATATCAAGCGTTTACCAAAAATCAGGAATTGGAGAACATGAAAAAATTATTATTTTTATAACTTCTATACAAATATTGCAAAGACGTTTACAATATTTTTCTTTTTTAGAATTCATAATATCAGATATTTAAATTTAATGAAAATTTTGAATTGACAAACATTAAAAAAGGATTGTTATGTAACACCTATATGCATCTATAGTAAATTTAATAGCTAGATGACAAGTTGAAATTAGATGAATGAAATTGCAAATACAAAAATGAAAACAACATGCTAACAGGAAATATAAATACAAATATTAAGTACAAGGCTACAAATACAAATATTGCTTTATAAACATAACATAACATATCAAATAAGAAAACAAACAATTTCTAGATCAATAAGATTTGAATAAAAAGGACATGTAGAAAGCACAGAGTGTGGATGATGGGCCTGGGTCACGATGCTAAAACTATATATTTCCACATGTTGTCAAGTTTATCTAGGGTATCTTTCCCAGGGTTCACACCCCTGGAGCAATCACCTGGACCATTCACACTCCCAAAAATTTGTTTCATCCACATTTCCAACATGTGATGATGTGAGGTGCTCTCTCAATTCAAAATAAATTCTTCCCCTACACCAGTTGGCCACACCCCTGACGCCCTAGTCCCACACCCTTAGAGATGAAAACACCCGGGGATCTAGGGCATAATTTAACATATTCTGGTGGTAGCGACATGGTCAAATTTACTTCAAAAGGACACTGTTAAAAGTCGGTTAATCGCGCGACGAGATACGTATTTGTGGTCATATTTCTTACAGTAAGGGTTGCTATGATGCTAAGCTTGTTCTAGGCGAGTTTCGTGGTGATCAGGTTTGATCAAACAACTTCTATATCATTGATAATGAACAGAACACAATGAAAGCATGCTGTTTTGAAAATGTTCCATTAGTGCTATAGTGCAATATATATTTGCTAAGAAGCTGATCTATACTACTATTGGTAATGTTGTGAATGTCGCTAACTATGCTTGACAAGCATTTAACCATCTAAATTGAGACCAAATGTCACTCAACTACCATCTTCACAATGTCAAGATATTACAAATTAGACGGAGTAATAGTTTGACATTGTGAAGATGCCATCTTCAATCCGGAAGGTTAAAGCGCCGCTAAATGACATCTAACCCGGAAGGTCTCAGTTCAGAAGGCTCACGAGGCTTCAGATCTTACGATGATAAAAGAGTTAAAGATGGGTTCCCTTATTTTCATTTATGAAAATGAAAATACTAATACTTATATGAATAGAAACTAGAGGTGTTCTAATGACTTGGAAAAATACCAGTTTGTCTCACAATCAAAGAGTTTGCACGTCAGGCATCACTACCTCTCCAAGAAAGTTTGTTAATTTTGCATTAAGACATACGAACACTATGGTAATAACACCCTAATTCGTATGTTGTTATGAGTGAGTCCAAGCAGTTTACCAGCCTAACGCTGCTAGGGAATATCCCTTTAAACATTCAAGATTTAATTTTTAAATGCTATTTTCACTGTATTCTGTACATTGTAATTTACCGGATTTCACACTGATACTAATCACACAATCATGTTCGTTTTCTCCGAAAGTAGCAAAAATCGACAATCATAGTTCGTAAAGTCCCAAGCACTGACCCTACGAAAGGTAGTCCAAAACCCTACAGATGACAGTTCTGGTAGTTAAATTGATGTTTCTTACAGTATCGGTATATATAAACAACCACGGTCAAAATATCTGGAACGACAAGCAGTATAAGTGTTGAAGCGAGAATGGCGATACCAACAACTCCTACGGAAACTGACGTAGGTCTGTTGTCCACAACGCTTATCTTTTTCCGAACAGTTTTTGAGAGTTTCGAGACATTGATAGAAAGTTTTTTAATCAATTCGATCACGACCAACGACAGATCTTCAGCTGACTCGCCATTCTTGACACATTTACACATTGGTTCACATTCTTCTTCTTCGGTTGTTGTGTCTTCTGCCTGGGTTGTCGTGTCTCCCTGCTTCCTTCTATCTCGGTTGTTGTGTCTCCTGCCTGGGTTGTTGTGTCCTCTGCCTGGGTTGTTGTGTCTCCTGCCTGGGTTGTTGTGTCTTCTGCCTGGGTTGTTGTGTCTCCTGCCTGGGTTGTTGTGTCTCCTGCCTCGGTTGGTGTGTCTCCTACCTCGGTTGGTGTGTCCCCTGCCTCGGTTGTTGTGTCTCCTGCTTCTTTTGTCTCGGTTGTTGTGTCTTCTGCTTCTTCTGTCTCGGTTGTCGTGTCTCCTGCTTCTTCTGTCTCGGTTGTTGTGTTTCCTGCCTCGGTTGTTGTGTTTCCTGCCTCGGTTAGTGTCTCGTGTCTTCTTCCTCGGTTGTCGTGTCTCCTGCTTCTTCTGTCTCGGTTGTTGTGTTTCCTGCTTCTTCTGTCTCGGTTGTCGTGTCTCCTGCTTCTTCTGTCTCGGTTGTCGTGTCTCCTGCTTCTTCTGTCTCGATTGTTGTGTTTCCTGCCTCGGATGTCGTGTCTCCTGCCTCGGTTGTAGTGTCTCCTGCTTCTTCTTCCTCGGTTGTCGTGTCTCCTGCCTCGGTTGTTGTGTCTCCTGCTTCTTCTGTCTCGGTTGTCGTGTCTTCTGCTTCTTCTGCCTCGGTTGTCGTGTCTCCTGCTTCTTCTGCCTCGGTTGTTGTGTTTCCTGCCTCGGTTGTTGTGTTTCCTGCCTCGGTTGTTGTGTCTTCTGCCTCTGTTGTCATGGCTTCTGCGACGGTTGTTATGGTCTTTGCATTATTTGATGTACTGACAAAATGATCAGACGACGTGGTAATATCGGAAGAGTGGTCTGCATTAGATAATGTCATTGTTTCGAAAGATGGCGTCACACCATGGTAAATATCGTCGGACTGATATGACGTCATTGCAGAATAGGCAGAAGAGAATGACGCCACTACTGAACTGCCGCTTATCATCTGATAAGAACTGCGTACTACAGACGACGAAACTCCCAGTCTTGAAGATCTTGGCGCCATATTGTAGGTGTGATGTGTTTCAGAGGTTTGATAATAATACCCAGAATAGTCTTCTCCAGAAAAATCGTTGTCATGGACTTCTGAAATGAAATGAAATGAAAAGTTGGGCTGGTGACTATTGATAGTTCTCGTTTTACTAGATTTTAAAACACCAATGATTGCGTAAAAGTTTCCGTAATTAATCTAAAGAGTATCTTGATAAGATCTAATATGATAAAAATGCCTCTACGGGGGACAACAACGTTTCAACACAAGTTACACAATATGTCGTTATCAGAGAAGTGGTTTTTTTTCATATTTATTGTCTTGTGTTATATATGTGCTCCTCGCTTCTAAATGTTGTTCAAAACTTAAAGAGACCAAGGAACGTTGGATTCCAAAAAATGTTTGAAGATTAGCCAATCCATTAAGTTGACAAAATAGTGACCCATTGCACACTGCAATAAATCCAATGAGGAGCAGAATAGTAATAGGCATGAAGAATATCAAACTTTTATTCTTTAAAATATCATTAAATTGGAGAAATGCGGAACTCCATTGAATTTTGATTTCCGACTGTTCAATGCGATACAAACGACCTACCCTTACGTTACACTAATCACTCTGTAGGACTGTCAAATGTTTGTGGTATGGACCTACCGAATTTCCATACACCACCGTGTTCAGTAGCTATGGCCAGGTAGTTGATTGAACGATTGAACAAACCCAGCTCCGCTATGGTAATATTCGAATCTGTGGAGACCAATACCAGTGTTACTAGCTTTCTGGACCACTCTAGTATGAACAAATTTGGTGTTAAGCATTGCTTGTTGGTCAACGGTGGTGGTATAATAAAATAATCGGTAATGTATGTGTGATGTTCTAAAAATGCAATGGAGGCGTTTCCACATGTATCTAGTAGAAAGGAAATGCTGTTCACTCTCCTGATGTATATTCCTTCCTCAATAAGGTATTTGAAATCGGCTGTTGTTCTCACCGTTACTGTAGTTTCTAAAAATAAAAATATACCCACATAGGTCAGTTTCATCAATTTACCAAATAATTATAATTAAAGATGGGTTCCCTTATTTTTATTTATGAAAATAAAAATGCTAATTATATGAATAGAAAGTAGAGGTGTTTTAATGACTTGGAAAAATATCAGTTTGTCTCACATGTCCATAATTAATTCATAATTAGCTAAATTAGAATAGAATTACCAGCAGAATTCCAATGAGTGACCGATCAAGAAAGGTCAAAAAGTCTTTTTTTGTTTATCCAGACTCTACATACATGGACATTTATGTTTGGTTAAAACTCGTAATAATATGTAATAAGAACATAATGATATGATTAAGAATACATGATAATTCATTAGAAACACCAATTAATCTAATAGTTTGCTTACATTGACACTAAAAAAATAAGGAAAGCCATCTTTAGGCACATGAACTCTGTAAAGAACAAGTAAAGGGGAACACTTTTTGAAAACAAAGGCCTGAAATCCTTGAAGGAGTATTCTTCAATATTTTTATATTTTTAAAAGGAAATTATATTTCCTAAGAAAAAGAGCAAAAAATTTATTTCAGAAACGGGAAATTTTAGCTAAGTCAATCAGTAATAGTGTTCACAGCTCAGCGTCGAAATTCCAACCTTCAAATCCATGTGTGTCTAGAATTATCCTCGTTTGAAAGTTGAAAAGACGAGTCGTTTTTTATGAGACACTGCCATATATAGAAAAGACATCTATAGAAATAGGAAAAGAAATTCCAAGTTTAAGATATTTAGTCGTAAGGCCTAGTGAAGTGGCTATATTAAAAATAAAAGCTAATAAAAACGGTCTAATTGTAATCATACGGTGGTTCTGACTGATCCATTTGATATTATACATTTTACCCCTGACCTTGTTCGGAACATCCAGAGGGCTTAAATAGCTACAGTTATTAAATAGCTACAGTTATATGGGCTATTCTATGGAAAAAATACGGAACGACGCCAATTCTCAACCATTTTCAAGAGCCAAAATGGCGTCGTGCCTTGCAAGAAGAATGCGAAAACATACATACTATTTTCATTGGTTAAATTTCCATTTCCTCTGCCTAACATACAAAATATTACTGCAAGATACAAATGGGATTTTCTAGGATTTTCCATCTTAGGTAGAATTCAGGATTCGAATTCTTCTGAACTCTTGCTTCCGACACTGTAGAAACTTTCTTGTCTTCTGTTAATGATATCTAATCAACTGAAGTAATTAGTGAGGTTTCAATTAATTTTGAATGATTCTAAAATCCGATTCAATGATGCTGAAAGTCTATAGAATAAGGTAACAATTTTGCAGATTATTTCTATCAAGGTCTAAAGCCGACATCGGGCCAACTACAGGAGGGGGTTGTTATCAGGGACGAATATTCCGTGGCTACATTTAAATGTCAGTTCAAACATGACGAAAAAGCGAACTTATTGATAAGGCCCGATAAATCAGTAGATTTCAGAACCCAAATTTATCGCTTGTCAAATAATTCTTAAACCATGCGACATCTTCGGTTTCACGGTTTGGCCCCTTTGTCAAAAGCCACGGGGCATTTCTCAGTTGACTCGCCATATCATCCCCACAGAAAATACCATTCGGCAATCCTCGGCATTTGAATATGTTGCAGAGTGCCAGTGGAACTTTCACGATAGACCATAAGAAGAAAGCACGCCAACAGTGGCAGTGGAATAGTTCGTACAACCAGTTGGATTTTTATTTGCATGGACAGTGGAATAGCTCAGTCGGAAGCCAATTGGGTTTCTACTTATACAGTAGAATAACTCAGTCAGTAGTGAGATGGATTGTTGTCTGTTAGGACAGTAGAATATCTATGTCAGTAGCGAGTTGGGCTGTCGTCTGTTAGGACGGTAGAATAGCTCAGTCAGTAGCGAGTTGGGTTGTCGTCTGCTAGGACGGTAGAATAGCTCAGTCAGTAGAGAGTTGACTTGTCTGTTAGGACAGTAGAATAGCTCAGTCAGTAGCGAGTTGGGTTGTCGCCTGCTAGGACAGTAGAATAGTTCAGTCAGTAGTGAGTTGGATTGTTGTCTGTTAGGACAGTAGAATAGCTCAGTCAGTAGTGAGTTGGATTGTTGTCTGTTAGGACAGTAGAATATCTATGTCAGTAGCGAGTTGGGTTGTCGCCTGCTAGGACAGTAGAATAGCTCAGTCAGTAGTGAGTTGGATTGTTGTCTGTTAGGACAGTAGAATATCTATGTCAGTAGCGAGTTGGGTTGTCGTCTGTTAGGACAGTAGAATATCTATGTCAGTAGCGAGTTGGGTTGTCGCCTGCTAGGACAGTAGAATAGCTCAGTCAGTAGAGAGTTGGATTGTTGTCTGTTAGGACAGCAGAATAGCTCAGTCAGTAGCGAGTTGGAGTGTCGTCTATTAGAACAGTAGAATAGTTAGGCTAGGACAGTGGTAGCCTGTTGGGTAGGTAACCAGTTAACTGTTGACAATGGTATAGCTCAGTCGGTAGCGAGTTGGATTGTCAACTGCTAGGACAGTGGTATAGCTCAGCGGGTAGCCAGTTGGATTTTCAACTGCTGGGGCAGTGGAATAGCTCAGTCGGTAGCCTGTTGGGTAGTGCTGCCAGGGCAGTGGAATAGCTTAGTCGGTAGCCTGTTGGGTAGTGCTGCCAGGGCAGTGGAATAGCTTAGTCGATAGCCTGTTGGGTAGTGCTGCCAGGGCAGTGGAATAGCTCAGTCGGTAGCCAGTCAGTCAACTGTTAACAGGGGGAAACCGGGTTGAAGACTTATCCTCAAGCTAAGAAAATTTTTCTTCTGTGATTTCGTCTTTCAACCCCTATCACAATCATAAACCCTCATCAACTCGGAGACCAAGAAAGCAAGACAAGCTCTTTTATTTTCTAATCCAATCAAAATCGAAATCTGAAGACTACATGAACAATATCGTTATTCATCCATGAAAATAATTAACTAAAATATAAACTGGCATTAAAGTTTAATATCTAATTTCTGTCAAACTCAATAATAATCAATATACCTCGTTCTTTAAAGGGATGCTACCTCTTCAAATGGACATAAAAGTCTCAAACTTTGTCAGTGAGAGCATAAGCTTATTCATCAGTTGGACTTACCAGGTGTCATGACTAAAAAATAGAATCTCTATACCCTATATCCATTATTGAAGCCCGCTTGTTTAACAATTACTTAGTTTATTGAATTATTACTTTATTTTTATGGATTTATTGGATTATAGAGGGATTCTGTTGTACAGTTACCAGGTAAGTCCACTTATGAACATAGACTCATTTTGACCAAGTTTACAAATTAAAATTTTTAGTTCATCCTAAGAGGAAGTATACCTTTAAAGGACAGTGGAAGAAATTTCAATTCAGTAAAAACTTAAACTGCTTATCGTGTAAAGGATGTCAAATGCCCCACCTTTAAAATTCTTAATGATTAAAGTGACTAAGAATGGAAATAGATTTAGAGGACATGTCGGCAAATAGGTGCTGTGGGTTTGAATCCTCTTAAAAGTAAGACAAAATTCTGAATCCAGATCCAGTGCTTCTGAAATCGGCTTTAAACCTCTATCCCCTTTTACTAGATTATGCCCCACACTACATGATTGTGTACAATACGACACGTCAAGACATCGTGCAGCAAACATGTTGAATCGTATCGCAGGCTATCGTGCTACCCATTCTCTCACACTACACGACAACGTACAGGACGAGGAGGAAGCCTTGGTTATAACGGGTTTTTGATTATACGTTCCCGCAACGTAAGTAACATGTAATATATATTTTGACGATTATTTCCCTTTGATTATTAGAATCAACGAGGAAAAAATTAAAATGAAATGGATTTTCTGGGCCTGATTAAGCTAATGAAGGAATGAATCAACTAGTCCGAAATATCGGCCTTTAAAGGGACAGATGCGATTTTTCGGGACGTTAATTTGAGTGTTGAATATATGTAAATAATAATAGAAGTACTAAGAATGTTAGAAAATCACATAATTCCTCAAAAAATACCTTAAACTAGGAGTTTAACTCACTTTTTCTATTCATATTACTAATTGGCTTGGCTAAAAAATACCTGTTTCTGAGTCTTAATTTCGATCGGTCAAAAAAATGACACCTCTCCCTTTAATCCTTTTGACAGTTATCGGTTTGTCTACTCTTTGATTATAGCTAGAATACTGGCAGATGTTTCGGTCTAAGAGTCAATAAGAAATAAATTATATATTGTAATATTTTTAAAGATGGGTTTCCTTATTCTTTAGTGTCAAATTAAGCAAACTATTTGATTAATTGGTGTTCTTAATGAATTATCATGTATTCTTGATCAAATCATTATGTTCTTATTGCATATACCTAAGAGTTTTAACCAATCATAAATGTCCATGTATGTACAGTCTGGATAAACAAAAAAAGACTTTTTGACTTCTCTTGATCTGTCACTCATTGGAATTCTGCTAGTAATTCTCTTCTAATTTAGCTAATTATAAATTAATTATGGACATGTGAGACAAAATGGCTAAGCTATTAGAACATCTCCACTTTATCTTCATATAAGTATTAGCATTTTCATTTTCATAAATGAAAATAATGGAACCCATCTTTAATAGAAGAACTTGAAGTGTTATTCTTTTCGCTTCGTTTTCCTGCATTAATTACATTTAACAGTCGTGAATAATTCAGTATATTTTACATAGTAGGCATTCGAGTACATAGTACATTCGAACCCACATCGTCTAAAAATCCTCATTCGAATTATTGTGTTTTTCAAAGTCAGTGAAATGACCAAGTAAATTACCGAAATAATTATTTATTACCTAAAAACTTTTCGAGTATTTTTCTGTAATCATGAATGTCCAAGTTGTATCAGTAGCCCATATTGTTTACCACTGGTTTATTTCGTCCTACATATTTTATTATTCCATACTTTTTATACTTATAAAATCATTGTTTATTTAACCAGATATCTAAGATTTGAACGACATTAAGAAGCGGAGAGCACATATAATAGAAAACACAAGGAATATATTATGATATAGCACACTTGTTTAATAACAAAGTACAGAACTATTCAACGCAATAAGTGTGTTATAATATATTCCCTTGTGTTTTCTGTTATACAATTTGAGATATCTATAATTATATAACAGAAAACACAAGGAATATATTATGATATAGCACACTTGTTTAATAAGAAAGTGCAGAACTATTCAACGCAATAAGTGTGTTATAATATATTCCCTTGTGTTTTCTGTTATACAATTTGAGATATCTATAATTATATAACAGAAAACACAAGGAATATATTATGATATAACACACTTCTTCGAGGTGAAACGTTATGTACTTTGTGTCCTTGTTATAAAAGGGACAGTTACACCATTCTGGGGGTTGGTTTGAGTCTTGAATATTTGTAAATAGTCTTCAGAACTACTAGAAATGTACGAAAATCACATAATTTTTTAAAAAATACTCCAAACTAAGAATTTTACTCACTATTTCTATAAGTCGTCATGTTAACATTCAAACATGGATAATTCTGGACACACAAGGATTTGAAGGCTAAAATTTCGACGGTGATCCGTGAACACTATTAGCCTACCGATTGGTTTAGCTAAAAAAAAATCCCGTTTTTGAGATGATTGGTAAAAAAATTGTCCCATCAGTTCCATTTAAGGACATGTTTTACCATGAAATATTCCTGTGTTTAGTATACTTACCTATTAAAAAATTTTATTTGGGCGAGTTAACTAAATATGTCCGATTTGACTAGGTTTATTGTATAACTGACTCATACCGAGAAATACGAAGTTAGCCGAATGCATGAAATACAAGCACTTGCTGAAAATGGTTATGAAAATGTCCAACTCTAAGAGTTTGATTCCGCTATGCAATGCAGTACATCAAAGAATATTGAGTGTTCGCTCTTTAGTAATTCCGAGAAAGATAAGAACATACACAGAATCGGAAGGTACGGCTTTGTTAGGTCTACCTACGATGTAACGACGGAATGTTTTACATTTAATTTAGATCTGCAAGTGCAACCAAAATAGTGCCGAGTAGCCCAGATGAGACTCAACACAGACTCTAGTTCTAGTCACAAACTCTTGACACCATATAACAGCACAGACAGGGTCTAATCAATGCCCACCAATCATCAAAAAAGACATCTTAAAGTGATGTAGTCGTGTATATTATATTTATTAGCTGATGAAACTGAATTTTAGCTATCAATATTGAATAGACCTATCAGTTTTCACAAATAAAATAACAAAAGCACAATGTATATTTATCGGGTCCTGTTTCTTTATTTAATTTGCTAGCACTTCTGTTTTTCCATGCGCGAAATGTTGAAAATTCTCGGTAATCATGGTTGCACCCATCAACATTGGGAAAATATTTTCACCCTATATCTAACACTAAAAAATTGCACATTTGACACTAGTCAGTTTTTTTACTTTGCACATGTAAATGGAAATACCTGCAAATTATGAAACTATCAAGACTCTAATCAACTCCCGAAAAAGTTAAACTTGTCCCTTTAAAGGTGCAGATGTTAGGTTTTTTATTGCTGAATTTAAATTTGAAATTTTAGAAATAGAAAAGAAAAAACCAGTAGGAGAGTTTCGTGTTTTTGAAATTGACGGTGTGGTTCCAAGAAGAGATGGAGATCGACCCAAGAGGACCATCAGAGAAAAAGAGGTGAGAGATATATTGAAATATTACATGAGGGTAGGTGCCAGTGGGCAGACTGACTGAAATAGATTGTAAAGAGGTTTTCTAAATTTTTTATGTGTATTGGGGACACTGATAGCATCAATTTGTATCCTTTCAATTTTCTATCAGGCGTCTATGGTTCCTGCAATTTCACTAAAATTTAATGTTTGATGACATCACCAGTCGAAAAGGGCTCATGTGATAAAACATATTTTGGGATTAGTGACATCATTAAACACTATTATGGAATTCAATCTTTTAAAAGGGCGAAACATCAAGGTTCGAAAAATAGGATGTAAAACTCCATTTCATGTTTAGTGGTTTTCTTTAATGTATGATTTACTGGTAATTGATAAAATGTTTTTATCCACAGATACCACCACCAAGATATAAATCAATGCCTATAGATCAAGATTGGACTAGAGTATGGCCGACAGCTGCTTCCTTTAATTATTCTAAAATACCATTTCCAGTTCGGCAAGGCTACGTACATGTAAGTTTTAATTCTAGATACCGTACTTGAAACTCAGTCTAATTAACATTAATAACGCTGGGATCTTGTGACTCCAACAAACGGTGTATTGCGAAAAGTATTAGACACTTTTTATGCTTTGGAAAGGGCAGAAGTTAGATTGGCTGGCGGTATCATCAAACTGAGGCCCGTCATTAGACCCTAACTGGAGTGGCTAAATTAAAAATACAATTTTAATTAGTCTGCTTGAAACTTGGTTTACTTGTGTGGATATTTTCAGCAAGTGGGTACTTTTCACAGTGTTTTATTTCTACTATACATACAATTTATACAAAATATTAATAAAGTTTCAGAAACATGCCAAGGCTTGTATTAAATGTATAATGATTAAACTTGGTCAAATTGAGTCTGAGAATTTAATTTTATGTCCATTTAAAGTTTTACTACCACTTTTTTTGTAGAAAAATGAAAACAGTGTGTCGATACCAGAAAGATATGCTAATATTGAATTACGCAAAATACCCAACTTTCTTCATCTTACTCCAGCTCATGTCAAAAAACATTGTCAAGCCATTAAAAGTAAGTCAGTGTCAAGCCATTAAAAGTAAGTCACTGTCAAGCTAATAAAAGTAAGTCACTGTCAAGCCATTGAAAGTAAGTTACTGTCAAACCATTGAAAGTAAGTTATTTTCAAGCCATTGAAAGTAAATCACTGTCAAGCCATTAAAAGTAAGTACAGAATACACGGAAAAAAGTAAGTCATTCAATTGATGCTATCAGTATTCATGATACAAAATTTACAACACCTTTACAATCCCTTTTATTTGGATAACTTTTATTATTGCAGAATTCTGTACTCCCTGGCCTAAAGTTTTAAATACAGATGAGAAATGTCACAAATTATTTCCGATCACAGTGAAAACACGAGAATATTGTTTCTCTGGGTCCACATTATCTGATGAACGTGCTCGAATTGTTACATTACAGGTAAGATCTTTATTTGTACGTCCATGTCTCTCAATTTTCCCTTCAGCACTTAACTTACCCATGATAAGCTGTAAATATAATAACCGAACAAAGCAAGAATATACTTCTATGACGCAAAAATAACCCATGAAATTAAGAATTTTGGCATGATTTGAATTCGGTATTAACAGGGTATCTCAAATAAATTATTTAGATTACTAATCGATTATTGATTGGTAGTCTGCCATCGATAATTGATCTCAATTTGGTAATCGACGATAATCGATTATTCCGATCATTTTACCCAGCTCTACCCATTTCATTACAGGTGAAATTGAGCGCATTAAAGTTGGACTACCATGGAGAAGATAAGATTAAAAGGTTATTAGGAGAAAGATACAACCCTGTTGATGATATTATAACTCTTACCACAAACAGGTACCTCCCACTTTAAAGGCCATAGTTCGCCATTTTTGATTTGGGTCTTATATATATGATTACAAATAGTTTTCAGTAGTACTAGAAATGTATGGAAATCGCATAATCCAATCAAATACACCTCAAACTAGAAATTTCACTTTCTATTTCAATACATGTCTTTTCTATATATGGCAGAGTCTTTCTTTTACTTTTAAACAATAGCTATGTATCTTGATATTTTCTGATTGTGTTCTATATACAGTAATTTAGAATGTGTTTGTATTTATATTGTAGATGTCCCCTGAAGAAACAGAACTATGACTATGCTATGTATTTACTAACGGCCTGTTATTATGAAGCTAATGTAAGTTGATAGCAGAACTCGTACATAGTAAAACTCTTTCTACTTTAGAGTATACTAATACTAATGCTAGGTTTACACTCTGTTCCCGGTGGCCATGGTAATCACAGTTCAGGCCATCGTGGGAAAATGGGGATGAACGTGAGACAGCGCGGGGGGACAGGATAAGCAAACGTGACAAATCGTAATTGCTGCGGATAGCGGGGAAGAATTTTAAACTTGGAAATCTACTTTACTCGTTTGAGCTCTCCAGCTTCCATGTTTGATCCATAAGAGGCCTTGACAGAAGCATCAGACCATAGCAGACCAGCCAACATACAATGCATCCCTGGTAGACAGTGGCCCGAACCTTAGTGACCTTGGAGGAGCCTCTTCATTGCCCAACGGCCTATCACGGATACCTAATTAACCGTAACAAAACTTGAATGTGGAAACAAAAACAGCCAAAATCCCACGGCGCAAACAGGACTTCCATGGCCGTCGCGAACATAGTGTAAACCTAGCATCATAAAGATCATATGTGTCAATCAAATCAAATTTACCCTCCCACCATATCCTCTTGATCCAAAAATTGAGACTTTGTGTTATATAGAGGATTGCAAACAAATGCTTATGTAATATGAAATGTATGAAATGAGTTGCCAGATTGTGCTACGAGTTCATATCGTTTTTATGAACCTGTGTTATGTACCAGAGAATGGAACTGTTGTGTGATAAAACAAAATATTTCCTTTGTGTTTCTCTTGCTCTTTAAACAGCATCTCAGAAATCCTTTCACTAGAGTTATTGTAATGACTGTTTTTGTAGAAAACAGAACCGTGGGAGTTAGAAAAGGCTGATGAAGATTTAGATAAATATTACTGGGATAGAAGTCAATCTAAACACAATATTGTACAATTACTTCATAAAGTTCACTTGACAGATCAGGTTAGTATGTCACTCTTATTCAATTTTGAGTAATAATATCTTTTCTTTTTATTCTTATATTTTTCTGTCTCCTATTGTAATCTGAAGCGGGATGTGTACTCAGTCTCAAACATAAACTCTTTGCTCATAGCATGAAGTTGGCTGTCTTCATCAGCCCAATTAGGTGCAGAATAGTAAACTTAAAACTCCATTCATTCACCCAGTATGATGCAGTTGTCCTTTTATGTTGACAGTTTTTCAGACTAAACATACAGATTCACTTTTTGAGTTACGCTTACATACACATGTAATCTTAGCTTAACAAATTTTCTTCTGCAGTCCTGTTCTGCTGTCATTATTCCAGGACCTGTTTCATGCAGTAGCTCAGCCAGTTAGATGCATGAATGCAGTGGCGTAGCAAGGATTTCATGGCCAAGTGTCCATGCGAGTGCCCTGGCTGAGATGATATTTTAACCTGGTTTCCCATGACAGTGATGCCAGTCAAAGAGGCTGACATGAATAAAGCGTCTAATGATTCTAATTGGACAATAAACTCATGTCACATGTGCTACAGGCTGTGAATGTTATAGATCCCTTGCCAGTTGCTTATTCTGTCTGGAAAAAATTTCTTACATTGCACACTACTCCTGCATCTTATACCGTTAGTCTTTAGATGAGATCATTCAGTGGTGTTAAACTCGATTTCATATATTTCAGGGAAAGAATATCCTTGATGATGTGGAATCTACCAACCCTGATGAAGAATTCACAGAGGAATGTCTAAAAACATCAGATGTAGCAGCTTACTCTGAGGCTGTGACAGACTTACATAACGAGGGGGAAAATATTATAACAATTAACAATTATAAAAACAGTGTATTAAATATATTAAATATTAGAACTGATAGTAAACAGTGATTATGGATTATAGTGTTACGATAAATAAATTCATTCATTCAATAACAGTGGCTTTGTCATATCAGCTTAAAGGGACAGATGCGGCATACTTTTTGACCAATCATACTTTAGTCTCAGAAACGGAAATTTTTTAGCCATTCAGTAATAGTGTTCACAGCTCACCGTTGAAATTTGAGCCTTCAAATCCATGTGTGTCCAGAATTATCCGCGTTTGAATGTCTCGTTATTTTATAATATTCTGTGATATATCGGAAAGATATAAATAGATTCTGAAGACTATTTACATATTTGTATGACTCTAATCAACCCCCCACAATGGCGCATCTGTCCCTTTAACCATTTATTCCTTGAAAGGCATTTAGTACAGGTGTTTTTGATATAGCAATGACATGGCTTGATACAGATCAGAGAATCCATGTCAAACATTGAATAAATAAAATCAGTAATTATCCAAAAGAAATGTGTTATAAATACCTTAGCTATTGTAGGCTAAAAATAGAAGAATTAAGAATGAGAATTAAGAATTTGTGCATCTTTTCTATGCAGTACCTTCAACTCCACCAAGGGTTTTCAACATGGGGTTAACCCAATAGGGTAATTTTGAAATTTTCGGGGTCAATGTTTCTATTCAGGTAGTCTATATTATTTGACATTAAAATGATTGAAGGAAAACGGAAAACTTAAGAGAAAATTAGGAAATATTTAAGATTTATAATGGGAAGGGGATAATAGAAAAAGGTTGAAGCCTGAAAAAGACAAACTGTGTGAGTAAAACTGCAGACCATCAGTATTGACTGTTTAAATTCTGATGTTTGCCATGGACTTGATAAGCATCTTATGTGGATGTATGTTTTTGGCCAGGATTGGACTTATCAGCCACCACCACAAACATAATACTTAATAGAAATTGTGGTCATCTTCTACGACAAAGGACCAAAGGACGAACATCATCATCATCAAAATCGCTGCATTTTATACACGCAAATATACTGTGTAGGTGTGGTCATTCTGAAACTTCTGTCACTGTCTGTTATGTTCATTTCCCAGTTTTGCAAGCCCTTTCCTGGTTTAAAAGGAACTGCACAAAAATATACTGTATTAATAATAATAATAATAATGCATTTGTATAGCGCCTAATTTCTAGAAAAATTCTACTCAGTGGCGCTGATCAATTGCAAAGTTTTTGTCATTGTCTATGATGAGCCTTTTCTGGGTGAAAAACTGCGCATTATATACACAAATATACTGTATTCCACATACTCAAGTTTTTTTTCAGGGTTAAAAACGGGCACTTTATTTGTTAATAATATACAAAAATACTAGATGCTTTTTAATATGGGATGAGAAAAATTCTTTGTAATACGGGATGACAAAAAACGCTTTAGAATATGGAATGAGAAAAAAACGCTTTATAATATGGGATGAAAAAAAAAAACGCTTTATAATGTGGGATGAGATTTGGTATTTCGACTGTTAAAAATGACTAAAGATGTTTTACTTAACGCAATGTTACTTAATGTTTTGAAGTGTTTTCATCCAGAGGACACTTTCAATTAACTTGAATTCCTTTTAAATTTGATGCATTTAGTTAAATTAATTCTTAAGCGACATTCATGGGTAGAGATCACATTAAAGAAAATATGTCACTTCAACTAAATGTTTGATGACGTCATTAATCGTAAGGCCCTATGAATATTTCGCGATCAGTGACATCATCAAACATTTAGTTTTGTTAGTGGAATTGCAGGCACCACAGACATCTGACGGGATATTGAAATGGTACAAATTGATGTTATCGATGTACCCAATACTCATAAATTTTTTATAAAACCTCTTTACAAGCCTTTACAAGAACATGTGAGCCATTTTCAGAGGTTGATTTGAGTCTTGAATTTATGTAAATAGTCTTCAAAAGTACGTCAAACTATGAATTTCTTCTCTATATATCACAGAGTATCCTAAAATAACGAGTCGTCATTTTAACATTCAAACTGGTATAATTTTGGACACACGTGGATTTGAAGGCTCATCAAATTTTGACAATGAGCTGTGAACACTATTATGGGCTAAGCTAAAAAATCCCGTTTCTGAGACTAAAATATGATTTGCCAAAAAGAATGGAACACAATTGTTGGTTTACTCAACAGTAGAATACCATGACGTTTTGTTCTGTTAGTTGATATGGTTATATGTGTCTTCATCAGTTAAAGAAACTGCAACTTTCCCTGTACAATCGATGTGATCATAGTCTTTGAGTGTTGTATCTGATTTAACTAATTTTGGTTTTGAAATCAAAGCACTAAGATGATTATATTCATCTTCAACGGCAGTGTCGTCAGTTTGTAAATTGGATTTATCTCCCTTGCTTTTCAAATCTGGCTCCGCATACTCTTCCTTAGGGGAACCACGAGTTTTTAATTCCACAACGGTGACTTTACTTGGGTCTTGAAATTTATTTTGGAAAAATTCTTGGTCCACATAAGTGTAAGCAACAGAGTCTGCCTGGCTAGTTGGTCGGAATTTAGCCCCTTCAGGTGTAATGGCTCTGTTGGCCTTCAGTAGACTTTCCTGGCCGACATGATCGGATTTGTTAAATTTTGATGCAATATTTTGATAACTGATTTCGTTGCTTCTGCTTCCCGTCTGGTCATTGTCAGAAGTGTAATGGTTCCCTTCTACATGGTCATCAGCTTCTACTTCTGAATATTTAAGAATCGATCCCTTTGATTTTGTCTTTGACCTGCAATTACAATGTATTTATTATGTCGGGGTAATAATTTTATTGTATATATACGCCCTTGTGGGCAAACAAACAAACAGTACAATGATTAGCAATAAAATATATAAAATGAAACACAGATATAAGAAAAATAACACAAGTTGGTCCCTTAGTTGAGCTCTGATTCAATACATCATAATTATCGGATCTGTCTAGCCATACCATTCTATTAGATCTTGATGTACTACTCTACTGCGATTGTATTTTGCCGATTCCGACCGCTATGTGGATGGGGCGGGGCAAAGGGCGAGGCCCAGTATTGTCCAACCCCTTCTTCTCAAATTCCATACTCTACTGCGATTGCTTTTTGCTGATTCCGACCGCTATGTGGATGGGGCGGGGCATAGGGCGTGGCCCGGTTTTGTCCCACCCCTTCTTCTCAAATTCAATATCATTTACTACAGGAAACAATTTGCCTGTGAGCACCTCCCTCCTCTCTGGGACAATTCTGTGGCCCATCCATCTAATGACTTAAAGTAGCGACATAGAATGGATTTAAACAAAAGCAATACTAGCCTTCTCCTGAAAATGAGCACCAATACCACCAGGATACAGATTACCAATAAACCAACACCCACTCCTATTCCTATATAAACACCTGAAATATTGAATAAAGAAATATACAAAATAGATTCTAAAGAAGCATTACATATAACATGAATCCATAACCACAAACCAGATTATTGATCATTCGGCAATCATCGGCAGTTTCCGTAATGCTGAATCTGTATGATGCATAGTGTTAGCGAAACTTTCACGTAGACAGTTTGAATACTGATATGCATTTCCAAAAAGTCTATCGTTTAAATTGACTGATGTGCAAGGTGCGCGCTTACATTTTATAACATGATTTACCACAAGAAATTGAAATAATTACTGATCGAGGGTAAAAACAAATATGGGAAAAACATTTGTTATAGATAAAAATTAAAAAAACAAAACAAAACAACCACCTCTTAGAATTTAGAAACCCCTAAAATTTTTTAGTATTTTTGACTAATTAATATTTTTACGGATTTATTAGATTATACAGGGATTCTGTTCTATATTACACCAGGTAATCCACTGAATATATACTCTAAGTTCTTAAACATTAGAAAAAACCTTTAATAATTAATAAGTTACAGTTCTAAGGTTTTATAGATTTATCAGATTACAAATAGAACATTCTGTTATGACACTCTTTTAGGTCGAGTTTGAGCAAAAGTTAAATTGTAGGTTCCTTCTAAAAGTTATTTACCCTCTATATCCCCGTGTAACTCGCCATCTTCTTTCTCAGCATCTATCGTCGCTACTTCCAAATCTGTAGTTGTAGGTGCAGGAGTAATCCCTGGGGTAAAGATACCCACAGTCATGTCTGAAACCTTACAATTAATGGTAACACCATCATTCCCTGTAATTTTAAAAAAATCTAGTTACAGTCGATCTGTTTCGAAAAAAAGAGAAGAAGGGGGGGGGGGCTTAAGAATCGTGCTGGAGTTAGACTTACCATCTTTTTAGGCTACTTCTGACTAAAATAACTACTAGGCTATCGTGTTGTTCTTTTATTGTACAAACAACTCGCTATTTCTAAAACTAAAGCTAAGCTTACCCTGAGGAGCAAAGAATCCAAGCCAAATAACATCATCATTGTCTAGCAGGTTGATCACTACATTAAAATTTACAATCGGCTCTGAAATATCTATCGGTTCCGTGTAGAAAAATTCTCCTTCTTCGTGGCACAAAAACATTGGCCCATCATTGGCTTGCACAAACATTTTATACCCAGTAGTGCAGTCGGTTTTATTAAAGAAATTGGTTTTGGGTTTTGCTTGAGCATATTCTGATTCGCCATCTGCCAGTTTCGTGTAATAATTGGTAACTCTTAGAATACCGTTGGTTTGAATGGAACAGGATATTCCAGTGGCGGGAAACGTCGAGTCAGATCCCCTGAACAACACAGACACCTGTTTCTGCTTTAAATATCCAGTTGTTGTTAATATAGATGATTCTGTGGATAAAAATGAGAATCACACTGCAGTTGGCCTTATGTTGAATGACAGTGTGCTTCGATTTGAAAATAGTTAAATAGTTGTATAATCAAATGAAGTTTAAAAAAACAAAGATTCTTGCCTCTACTGACATTTATGGAAAAACAATTACCTCACAATATCAATCTGATAAATATATTCATAAATGGAGAAAGCAATTTAGTCTTATTCTGGTTATTCAACAACATCAACCCGTAAACCGCAAGTTAACAATTGTGCTATATTTGTTTCCTTATATTTTGAAAACTTTCGTGATATAAAAATGCCATATGAAGGTGCTGAG